TTTAAGGCTGCAGACCCTGAATTGGGATACAACCAAAAGGTGGAGTGGCTCAGAGGCAGAGGTCAGCCAGGTCAAAAAAATTAACAGGACGGTCAGATGAACTAGTCTTATTGATTAAAGTAGTAGATCCTTTAATCTGCTGTCATGGTGGCATTGAAAACAAGTATATGAACTTGCAGCAATGGAAGACGATACCATGGCAACCCACTGACACACCTGAAACTACCACTGAAATCAGACAAAGGGAAAGAGCGAGTGAGGGACAGAAAGAACGCCTACTTAGAAGGGAGAGGCTGAATACTTAAGCATTTAAAATGGTGTGGCATTTTCCCAAACAACATCCATTTGTGGTTTCCTAACTGATGAAAGCAGATAAAGCTAAGTTGTAAATGAATTAGAAGTGCCAGTGATTCATCATCCACAGAAGCTGGAGAAACAGGAGATGGGGAAGAACTTACAGTAAACACTCTATATTCACATTAAAAGCAGTCAACAGAATAAACACTTGCTAATTGTATTTTTTTCTACAAACTCCAGACTTGGAATTTCGAGAACCACACCCAAGGTTGCCAAAAACAATAACCAGGAGATAAACATTTTCCTGCTTTTGGCAAATTTAACTCCCTTTTACAGTAATGTACACATATCAACATCATTAAACATCTGGTAGTCATAATGACTTTGGCAGCAGAGGTTTCCCTGAACTTCATCGATTGTGAGAAGACTGCAAAAGAAAAAAACCCTGAAGTGGTGTGCCACCCACAGCGCCAAGATCTTGACATTATTTTCCAGGTTTTTGTAGAGAACAGACTGAAGAGATTGTTTTTCTACATTCTTAATAATTCCTAATATTTCTATACCACTGCCTTAAAATACACATTTATTATTACACTTTGTGTGATGATAAATGGGTAAAATCAGCATTTCTGTCCATCAGTCTGCACAGAACAATATAACAAAGATTTTCTTTTTTCCTTTTTTGTATTGAAAATTAAAACTACTTTACAATAGTCTTCAGTCTCTCACTTTAGAACTTTCTAGAATGCATTTGGATTTCGTTACAGTTTTGCTTTTGCTTTTGAATTGTTTGAATGGGATTTATGTTTTTCTTTTTTCGGTGGGTCACGCAGGGCGAATCTGAGACTTTTGCCAGCACTAATTCCATGTTGTGTTGGTTGTATGTTTTTGGGTTACCTTCGTCAAGTTTAACAATCACAAAAATCAAAGGTCATTTGTTTTCTGGCGGAAAGACTTTCTTTAAGGATTGCGTCTGGCTTCCTATTTTAACCAGTCTCTGGTGCTGAGAAGCATGCCCATGCCATGATACTACCATCACTATCCCTGGAAGGATTCTCATTCTTTATCCATCCCTTATGCTTCTGAGACCTCTGTCACAGTTTTCTACAGAGAGCTCCTGGGCTTCATACCTTGTCCTGACATCCAGTATGAATTGTTTGACCTCGCAGGTCTAAAGGTCTCCTTTTTCTAAACTATGTTCAATC